CGACGAGACGGCAACTGTTCAGTAATGTCTCAGTGATCGCAAGGGTGAACACTGGCAGCGATCACCGAAAGGCACACTGAACCTAAACGTTAAGTTGGAGAGGTCTCGCCTAAAGAAGTCAACGCTCCGTCTCCCTCGTGCTATAATCCAAAGTCCCGAAACCTTTCAGCTCGAGTCACAAAACCGTTTTCAGTGCCTAAAAGACTGCAATGTAGTGGACGATATGAATGATAAGCTCGTGGAAACTGTCCATGCGGTCGGAGCTAAGTTTTGCAAGACTCGCCGTAGAAGAACACAAAAACTCTCCGATCATACTCTTAATCACATGGCAGTTAGAAGGAAAATGAAACTGCAGTCTTCAACAGATTTGATAGCATAAAGGCAACTAAGCAGACAGATCTCCAAACGCATGCGCTGGGACTTATGCAAATTTAATACTGCTCGTATTGAAGAAGCGATCGAACGGAACCAGGGCTCCAAAGTCTTTGCCAGAGAGAGCCAATTGTCAAAGCTGAAGAATGAGTGTGGCAGCATCGTTTCCGGGACACCTGAGATTTTGAATGAGAGTGAGAGTTTCTATGAGCTGCTGAACGAACACATTATCATTGGAGCCACACGCAAGTGTGAGTAACGATCCAAGAGCAAGTCTAATGCGACACTATTCCGATGATATCCCGGACGTTAGTCGGAGCAAGAAAAGAAGGCTCTCTATCACGTTGAAAACGGCAAGGTCCCATGTGAAGATGGAACTACAGGGGAGTTTTTGAAAGCGGGCGGAAAACCGATACTTAAAGTCCTTCAGAATCTCTTGAATTTCGTCTTTCATGGTGACACTACTCCGGAGGCTTGTTGCAGAAGTGCAGTGGTCTTGTTTTTCAAGAAAGGCGATTGTGCTCTCTTGAAGAACTACAGACATATTTCCCTTCTGAGCCGCGTCTTCGTGCCGTTTTCGAGAGTCATTACGAATCGTCTCGCAAGCAGACTCGACGACTTCCAGTCTCTCTAAAAAGCCGGTTTCAGAAAAGGCTTCAGTATCACGGACCACATACATACCCCGCGGCAGATTGTACGGAAAACCAAAGAGTACAATCTGCCACTTTACCTGGCGTATGTGGACTATGAGAAAGCCTTTGATTCCGTCAAAATTTGGGCGGTGCTACAGTCCCTTCAACGGTGCCAAGTTGACTGTCGGTATATCGAAGTGCTGAAGTGTTTGTACAGTAGGGCTACGGTGCTAAGTGCTGTTTTCGAGTCATTACGAATCATATTCAACTGCAGAGGTGTAAGACAGGTTGACGTTATATCACCATACTCTTCACCGCTGCATTGGAAGATGTTGTCAAGCTACTGAATTGGAAAGGTATTGACATCAATGGCGAGTACATTACTCACCTTCGATTTGCCGACGATATAGTCTTTATGGTGGAATCGCTGGAGGATCTAAGCAATATGCTTAATGACATCAATAGTGTATCCCAACGTATAGGTTTTAAGATGAACATATACAAAACAAAGATCATGTGTAATGTCCATGTCACGCCTACGCTGGTAGTTGTTGGGAGCACTAAGCTCGAAGTTGTTGACAAGTACGTTTGCCTGGGACAAATAGCCCGACCAGGTAAGTCTAACTTCAATCGAGAGGTCAATTGACGGATTCAACTCGACTGGGCAGCGTTCGGGAAATTACGACACATCTTCTCGTGAGGTATACCTCAAAACCTATAAAAACTAGATTGTACAACCAGTGCATGTTGACAGTGATGACTTACGGATCTGAGACATGGTCCTTTAACTGCTGGCCGTATGAGGACGATCATGGTCACTCAGCGAGCTATGGAGAGGGCTTTGCTCGGGGTTCCTTTGCGTGACAAACTTAGAAATGAGAATATCTGCTGTAGAACCAGGGTAATCGACATAGCCCAACGTATTAGTAAGCTGAAGTGGCAATGGGCCGGCCATATGGCCCGAAGAACCGATAACAGATGGGGAAAATAGGTTCTCGAGTGGCAGCCTCGTACCGGTAGGCGTAGTGTAGGCCCACTAGACGGAATGATGACCTGGTAAGACATGCAAGAAGTTGATGGATGCAGGTGGCTCAGGACCGTGCTTTGTGGCATTGCTTGGGGGAGGCCTATGTTCAGCAGTGGACTTGTGAAGGGATGTAATGATGATAATAATGAAGCTAAAAATGTGATTTATTTGATCCTTTTCTTCTCGTTGGATAGCCATGCAGTAGAAACATTCAGGGCGATGTTTTTCTTTCTCCGGGTGTTTTTCTACTTTAGGGCGTAGAGCAGAAGGAGACCTTGGTCGTTCCGAATCCACAAAAATATCTGGGGAATGATGGTGCTTATACTGACACACGATGACTGGTTCTGAAATAAATCATATTCAATCGTATCATCACTCACAACTCGAAAAATTACGTTCGTTCGGCCTCACTCTAAAAAAGTAGGGTTGTTGCGCTGGTTTTCGGCCTTTTAGTGGAGTTGTCAATTTTAAGGTACTATAAAAAATAATAGCGATTATGTTGACCTAGTGTTGTTAATGTTAATTTATAGATTATATAATGTAGTTTTCATTTTGATAACTCATTAATGCTACAAAAGAAATCTATTTTTTATAATAAATTTTGATGTGAAAAATATGCAAAACGCTAGTTTTCGGCCCCAAATTTTAGATTTCGGCCTACAAGAATTTTAGTTTTCGGCCACTGTATTAGAAGAGGTACTATAAACTTAAAAGTGTTTTTGTAAAATCAGAAAATGGCAAAACGGTTTGGGAAATCGGTGTATTTAGTTTTCTCAATCGGTGATTGCGATTTTTTAACCGTGACGTTATTTTTTTCTTTTTGGGTGTGTTTTTGATATAAAATAATAACCATGATTAATTATTTCTCTTTGAATCATAATCTAATAATAAAATCTTCTAAATATAGCAATCAAATATTCTCATTTACGAGTATTTTGTACTTCCTCATAAGTATTTTAGTTTAACAAAATGTTACCATATCTAACCATTCTCATCTCTAACCAAGAGGAGCCATCTGAAGAAAACAAAATTATTTTTGAATCTTCTTCCTAAAACGTAATGTGAATAAAATATTTGATATGATAAGATGAAATGGCCGTAAACGTAAACTAAGACAGCATTCCATTTTCCGCCGCCGTATTCTTTCATACAATTTTAAGTTGGCCGAAAACTAAATTGTATATATTTTAAAGTCAATCCAGTTTTCGGCCACGACTGAAATGGCTATTTTGTTTCATCACTAACTGTTCAAATTGCAGTACTTGGTGGCCGAAAACTGAAAGTTAGTGTCTACGCACGCTACGATTCAATATAAGTAAGAAAGACGAGTTATAGTACGTAACCAAATAAACGAAAGAGACAAAGTATTTAGGCTAAACTCAGGCTACTTTTCGGCCGCATGGCCGACAAGCAAATAATGGGACAATTTTATGTGTCACTTTTCGGCCACTAATTTATTAACTTTATCAATAAATTATTATAATAATCAGTGTCAAATAACTGTACTAGGTTATTTATACAGTGAAATATAAGCACAATATTACGTAATTATATTAAATACAGCACGAAACTTACTTTTGAATGGAACGCTCGCCACTATTTTTTTTGCTCGATCTTACCCGTTTTGATAGCTTCAGTGTCGGCGTCAAACTAAACTATTTATTATAAATCGCGTGTTGTGTTTACCTGATTAATTAATGCTACCAGATATAGTGAAACTATTTACAAATGCATTTCTTTTACAATTTATTTTTACAAATGCAAATGCACAACTGTATTTCTTACGATAATATTTATTAAAATTGTTATTAAATCAAATTTACTGCATCAGCTCGTGCCAAAGGCCGAAATCTAGACCCGGCCGGCTTACCGGCGCATCGACCCTATAAAGAAATACAAAGTTGTAGGTATAATATCGTTAAGACATGCTTAATGAGTTTGTAATTACTTTTATCCATCTTTATGACAATCTAATTGTAAAGTTTTAACGAAGCACACTTGTGATTAAGTTGACAATCAAAGTAGACGCGGAAACATGAATGGCGGCAAAATGGCAAAACAATCTAGTTTGTTTAGCTGCCGAGGCACGAATATCCGTAAATTTTCGATCAAGTACCTACTCTCTTACCAATGCGGCCGACACGTTGCGTGACGCCTCGGCGCAAGCGGCGGCGTACCTACAATTTCTTTGTTTATACCTTTATTTTATAATTTAGATACTTCAAAAAGTAATGGTACAGTTACTTTAAGGTATAGTAATTTAAAGGTACCTTTATTTTAAGGTATCGAAATTTAAAGGTATGACGTCATACCACTTACTGCCTGTACCGTAATTTTTTCGGTTATTCAATCCCTGGTGAAGAGTTTCGGGGATATAACGTCACCCTGTCTTACACCTCTCTGCAGTTGGATAGGTTTCGAGCTCTGGTTCTGTACTCGGATAGCCATCGTAGCCCTACTGTACAAACACTTCAGCACTTCGATATACCGACAGTCAACTTGGCACCGCTGAAGGGACTGTAGCACCGCCCAAATTTCGACGGAATCAAAGGCTTTCATTACTAATACACAGAATGTAAACGCCGCTATTGCACAATCGGGTAACATAACCGCTTCTGCTTCTGATAATAACGAGCTTGAATGCCACCCTGCTAGGTCTCTGTCTCAGCCGGATGAAGTAAATACTGGTAGTTCTGGTTTGCCTGCTGATGCTTTACAAATGTCTCCTGCTGATGATTTGCATATGTCTCCTACTGATTCCACTTTTTCTGCTCCACATATCCCCAAGCTTAGTACTGAATGAGAGAGTGAGATAAGTAATTTGCCACGGCAAATTTTTACTGGTTATAATGAAGGAAAACGCCAGGAACGCTTATTTTCTGATCAATCTGACTTATGGACCCATTTTCACCCACATTTTCGATGAAATTTCGATGTTTCGACTACCATAAATTCAATTATGTGAATTTATGGTAGTCGAAACCAATAGATACGCTTTGCAAACCACAGTGAATGATTTGAGGCCCAACAGTCGTCTAAGGAGATGGAAACCAATAACAGGAGATGAAAGGAGAAAGTTCTTAGGTGTTTATTTACTGACGGGAGACATAAATTTTCCAATGCTCGAAAACTACTGGAAAAAGGACAAATTATACTATCATCCACTTCTTCACGAGATAAATATGTCCTACAATAAATTCGCGCTGATACTGAAATGCTGGCACTTTGTAGATAACGAAGCACCACGTAATGAAGGCGACCGTTTATATAAAATACAGGCACTCATCGACAAACTAACAAAAAACTGGCGAAAAATATTTACCTCCGGAGAGTGTATAGTAGTCGACGAGTCGATGGTTGATTTTAGGGGAAGAATAATTTTTCGAACTTACAACCCACAGAAATCTCTTAAGTACGAGATAAAAATTTATAAATTATGTACTGACAGTGGTTATACCTGGCGTTACCGCGTTTATTCTGGTCAAGACTACCAAATAGCTGGATTAGATAAACCGGGGTCATTTGTCGTTAGTTTGTGCACAGATTTGCTTAAAGAAGGAAGAATCCTGACAACGGACTATTACTACACTAGCATATCTTTAGCAAGGTACCTAAAAGAACAAGGTACTAATTTGCGTGGAACAATACGCAAAAACCGTCGAGAACTGCCCCGAGAAGTGGTTCAGCAACGTTTAGAAAAAGGCCAAATTTCTGTGCAGCAGAACAACTTTGCGACCATCCTAAAATGGCATGACAAACGGGATGTGCTTATGTTGTCGACGTGTCACGACCACGAAATGCGAATGTCAACTGGTTTTCGAACAATTTTGAAGCCTACTATGGTGCTGACCTACAATAAAGGGAAGAAAGGCATAGACTTGGCTGATCAGCTAGCAAGTTACAATTCGCCGGCGAGGAAAACCTCTGTTTGGTATAAGAAAATTGCTGAGGACCTTGTTTCTATAAGTGTAGTGAATGCCATTCTGATTTATAACGAGTTACACCCACAGTCAAAATTGAAGGTTCTGGATGGTCATCAAATCATTATAAAGAAATTACTTAAGGTGGAAACTGAGAACTTTTCAATTTCCAGCTCTGAGAGTTCTTTGCGTCCTACAAGTCAATAGTTAACGAAAATACCCAAGACAAAAACGTTCGGCAAAAACGTTGTGCCAGTTGCTACAAACAGCTGAAAGAATCGGGATTCATAGCCACTGATGCAAGGAAGAAGACTTCACAAGTTACAACCGAGTGCATTCCACGTAAAAAACCATTTTGCTTATAATGTTATAACGAATCTCACTAATTGCCAGTGGACTTTATTCAAATAATAATGCTTTTCAATAACCCAGTTCATGTTACCAACCAATAAAAAAAATTCGCGGGACATTGGTGTTTTATTATTCCCAATTCACTGCTCATACGTCTGCAAAATATCAGACGTAGCTCTCACGTCCAGTCTACAAAACCCCATTCAAAAAGAATAGGCTATTACCATTATCGATAAAGCACGGACATCACAGCAGCAGCCAAAAATGCATTATATATAATGCACGGACAGGCAACATGTTAAAAAAGTTCTCTACTCATACAGTTTCCATACCTATCAAAAGCGAACTGGTTGTTAATTTTCTATTTATTATGTAACTCTAATTTAACGCTATAATAAAAAAAGTTCGATCATAAAAAATGCATTTGTAAAGTCAAATAAAAAAAACATCCTACTACTTATTTCTATACTGTGTCGCTAGTGGGGTCATGCAAGTTCACTGCCGCGGAGTCCGCGCGAAATAATTCGTGCGCGGCCGGGACAGCGCTAAATGCCTACTTTGCAGAAATACGTTTTGTCTATCTTATTGCCATTATAGTTACTAGACGTTTCTATAATAAAGAAAAAATAATCCTAAATTAAAAATCCTAAAATTAAAAATAAATTTGATAATCCTGTATGCTGGAATATCAGGGTAAGTAGAAAAAAACTTGAGTTTGTCCCTATTCACCCCTGCATCCCTATTTACCCCGTTTTACGTTACTACTCATATTTCCTATTTCATTAAACTGGCAATATGCATTTATATTGAGTCATTCATTACTGTATCAATGCATTTTTTTTATTTTAACGCCAACCAAAAATAAAACACAAACGTCAAATTCGTATTAATTTTAATCAGACTCATTTCACAACGTAAATTGAGAACTAATTTTTCCCTTATTCATTTTACAATACCGGCCGAAAATAGAAAAAAACTAAACTAGGAGCAACCGATATTGTAAAACGAAAATTTACGACACACAGTGCCGCCAACATATTATTAAATAACAGATAAAAACATGAGCGCGATTCGTTTATATATACATACATCTGTAAATTACTCCGAACATATACAATCGTACAAAACCAGAGTGCAACAGAGACAGAAAACTTGCTACACTATGACTCACACATACCTATTCCATTATACAGGGTTATTTTTCTAAGTGTACCCAAATTTAATATTTGAAATATATGAACAATAATATACCATTTTTGCAGATTTTATATATACGAGTAAATAAGGCTTCTACTGTTATTTGAAATTATCCCAAATAGAACGCGATTTATATTCAACACGCTCTTATATGTGCGATTCAATTCGTAAGTTTTTGTCTACTATTTACTTTCTTAATGACACACACACACTAGGTATTAATGTTTAAATGATAACTACTACTTTGACTACAGCTCAACCTAGCGGATAGCGGACAGTCACTCAAGTTCATAAGACGCCTAAGCAATCAAAATATCTTGAGGTGTATATCAACATCAAAGCAGTTGTTTCGTCGTTCTCTCTAATAGTTCAAATACGCAGACACTAAATAAACCTTTGTTTTACCTCACAGATAAGTATCAATAGTGAAGTCCGGTGACTTTACAGACCATAGTATCGTAGTGTTAATTTGTAGACCTTAGGTGACGCGGTAAAGACCCACTTTCGTATAATCTTTGCGTACCACATAATCTTTCATTGTTAAGATGTAACACAGTTCCATTTCATAATTTCGGATATTTTCGTTGCGTAATTGCAACATTAGACAGACAAAAGTAGACAGAACATTTGAATTTTTTTTACTATTTGCCTATATTACCTATTCTGAACTTCCTCTGCAAATTTGGGAAGAGTAATTGCAAAATAACCCTGTATATGTTCAGTTGTATCTATGTTACAGACCCGTGCCCGTATCAATATTTCGAGTGTTCACACACAATGCTATGTATATAAATAAGAGATATATTGGATATAACACACAAATCTGTCGGGTACTTAAACTTTTCGCGCTATGGAACGATCCCGGTGCACTCGGCACCGCATTACACACGTACCCGTCCGTATGTATCGTCTTTTCACACACTCACACACAGATATTTAATCAGCTTACAACTCATCGTGCTCCTCCTGTGGAAAAAAAAGAAAAAATTATATTATAATGTGTGAAATGAATATAACCGATGCGTGGATCGGGAAGTAGTCTCCAGTTGTAGCCACTAAAACAAGGGATACTTAATTTTATAAATGCAGGGCTAATGGATGCAGATAGCTTCTTTTTCCTTTTTATGAACCTATATAATGACCAAATTTCGGTCAGAGACTCATCATTTACACAGCACAGGTTCAAGTGCACGACTGTTGCGCAAACACAAGTGCACTCTCTATTCTCTTACTCGCCCATGCAACTATGACAATCCAACACCACCAGAGTAAGATCAAGCGAAGGACCAACGGCTCTATGAGCTTTCTGAGGCAAGAAGGGGTGAACACCGCTAACATCCTGACTAAAAACCTACTGTTTGGTTGATCATCACATCATCATCATTACAGCCCTTCACAAGGCCACAGTAGGCCTCCCCCAAGTATTGCCACAAAGTGGCAATACTTGATCATCACATTTTAGTAACAAAAGCAACAAAACAACAAGCTCGCATGTCCACCCATATCAGATACAACACTTTTTTAATCAATATTGAATAACCAATGACTTGAATGTTAAAGAAATTTTAGTTTAAGAAAGCTTAAACTAAAAACCCTCAACATGCTGTATGCCTGCAGTCCAAAAGCAGTAGCATTAATATTACCAGACATAAAAAAATTAAAAATAATTTAAGTTCTGAAGCACTTTCTCCTAAATATGGAGTCTCAAAGATTTTGACCGTAAACCGTGTAGTGGCATTGTAAGAATATCCCCTACCCTGTATCGTCTTGTGGGTGTCGTAAGAGGAGACAGAAGGCAATTTAAACAGGTGATGGACAGCTGCATCTTCCTGATAACTGAGAATAATAAAAACTGTAGCGCCCACCTAAGCGTGGCAACTATAGCAAAATACTGCCTATGAGCAACCTATGGGAGTGACCTATATTCAGCAGTGGATAAGTTGTAATGGTAATTTTTTTTTGGGATTTTAATGTCTATTATCAACTCAAATTGTGTTTTAGTTCATTAAAAATACTACGTGTTCATTTCAAGTTTGCCGACCGTTATGACATCACAGCTGACGGTACCATAGACGAAAAAAATTGCCTTGTTTGTTTATTATATCATATAAACATGATGATATTATAATTAAATTTTTATAGTTTTATTTTACATACAAAATATTTTAAATACGTAAAATATTACGAAGGCGCTGTTATTGATACTAATAGGGCGACGCTTGAGGTGCGGAGGGGGCGCGGCGGGAGGTAACGGCATTCTTGGAGTGAACAAGTTATAACTATAAATAAGCAAATAATTTACTTACAACTGGCGCAGCTTCGCCCGCCTCATCATCGAGGTCCTCATCATCATCCTCTTCATCAGGCTTCTCAGCCTTTTCTTTCTCCCTCTCTGCTTCATCCTGTTCATTCTTCATTTTCTTCTCGCCCTCTTGAGTCTTCTTTAAGGCTTCACCGCGTTCTTTGGCAATCTCCAGGTCATCGGTGATTAGGAAATTGTCGAAGATAGTGCCAGACTTAACTTGCCATAAATCTAGACCAACAGCGCAAAGCTCGTCCCTCTTGTACAATTTAGGGTCGGGGGTGTATTCAGGGTTGTCAATTTCAGGGTGCACCCAAGGTCCTTTGTATGCAGGGTTGTCAATCTGTAAATAACAAAAAAAAAATATAAATTACCAAAATTAGCTTTATGTGGTAGAACCATGCTGCAACATATTATGGCTAATGCATGAATGGGTCGGCCCGACAGGGTGACAACAGTGGCTGTATGTCATAATATTATGATGAGTGACAAGAATCCTCTTTACGGGTAATGAGGCATTCCATCTTAGTCCTCGAGGCTCACAATGCATCTGCATTTTATTTTTATTAGAGATTAGATGTAGTTCTCCATGGGCCACAACATCCACTTACCATCAAGTGAGCTATGTGCTCATTTGTACCAAAAATATTAACTCTAATATTTTTATTAATATTAAGTAAATAATAATAACAAATATCAGACATTAAAAAAGGACCCGGTACGGATAACGTAACGAACATACCGTTTTGGTGATATGTAGGTTAATTAAAAAAATAATTTTTTAAATTTAAAATACAAAAAGGCTAGTGTAGACTATTTTTTTCAAAGTCGATTTCACTTATTAAATTCATGATGATAAAAATGTAAATACATTGTAGTTATATTAGTATTACTATAAAATATTTCACTAAATTTACAGCATCAGCTATAAAATACAAAACTAGAAGCTATAATAAAATAAAACAAGTATTAATCGATTTTTTCCTCACATATACTTCTATCAATTTGCACCTTGCGAGTTGCGAGTTCATTGCGTCATTTCTGACATATAACGGTTTCAAGGGTCAATGAACTTTAAATAAACTATTTGCAGCCATGTCGATCTCACAAATTGTTTAAACAAACTGTTTTTCCACACAATGAGCTAATTTATTTCTTAGTACATACAGTAAAATGAATCAAAAGAAAGAATTAGTTTTACTTTGTTTTAAATAAAATACGATTAAGCAAAGCTTGTGTTGAATTGTGACTATGCTGTGAAAATTCATTGATTTGTTTTCAAACTTTCTACTTTGGCTTATATATCTGGTTGAAAAATATATGGGAACAATAAATATCAGCATTACTTAGAAATATC